TGTGATGAGCTAACTAATAAAGTTGCTAATCTTAAAGCCGTCGGTACAACCCTCACCGAGGCACCTAAAAAGAAAGATTCAATTTTTAACATGCCTAAAAGGATGCCTCTATTTCTTGTAATGATTTATATTTAGATTCACCCTTGTGCAACCAAATTTATGTTGAGAAAGTTATTAGAGAAACATGCACACAAGAGGTCGCAATAGAGAATGAGCAACTCAAGCAAGAAGTGGCTCGCCTCACCAAGGACTTGACTCAAGTGAAAGACAAGACGGAGCAAGCCCAACTTTATCAAGATAACACCGTCAAGGGAGTGAAGAAGCTTGATGAAAGACAAGCTATGGTTTGCTACGTATGCCACAAGGAAGGCCACAAGTCCTATGAGTGCAAGGTGAAGAATGAGGGAGGAGAAAAGAAGAAAGAGAAAAACAAAAAGCAAACAAGCAAGCTCACCAACACCTACACCAACAAGGTGGACAAAAAGGCCTCCACACCTTATCTCTTGAAAGAAGAAGAAAAATTACAAGGTGGTGGCCATCAAGGTGAACAAGCAAGCAAACAATGGGGTCAAACGCTTTTGGGTGCCAAAAGAAATCATTTCAAATATGAAGAGTACCAAGAAGGTTTGGATCCCTAGAGAAAAGTGAGAAGTCCGACGGACTTCGGAAAATTTGGAGACTTAGCAAAGTATGAGTGCATTTCATGGGATGCATCATTATGGACAAGGTAATTGCCAAGTGGGTTAGTGAATACTATAGACCCAAATTTGTCTTCCCATGTTAGATAACTAGATTTAAATTCTTACAGTTTTAATTAGCATCTAGTTTCTTTTAATATCTAGGTTTGCATTTGCATGCTTAAATCCTTTGTCATGCATACACTAGATATATCTTATGGTAGGCTTGCTCGATTTCATTCTTAACCCTTGGAGCAAACCTACATGGTTTAAATTATTTAGGAGCACGACACATAGCTTGTTTTACAATTATTCATCTAATATGTGCTAAAGTCCAAATTGTAGATAATTTCTCCCGAATATCACTTTCAAAAATGATTCTCACATTCATGTGATGTCATCTTTCAAGTGGTATTTTTTATTCTAAAATCAATGTGCATGTCTCCTACAAGTATTTCATATTTGTGTGCACAAATTTAGTGGGAGGTTACTCTACAAGTTGGATGATTTGAGACTAACACCTTTTTAAGCTTATCATGTATGTAGTAGTCTCATTGCAAGGAAAATGGAGTCCCCGGAGTTAAGCATCATACTTCAAATATCCACCACCCATTGCAAGTGGTATAAATCAAATTGGTTTCCACATGTGGTATTTCTAAACCGATATCATCATATTGATTTCACTTTGGTATTTATATGTTTTCTCCATACATTATATAGATTAAACTCCCTTGAGCATTAATTTGTCAATTATGCATAAACTACATTGTCCATCGTATGTATGCATATATTTAGGCGGAGCTTAGTCTATGTAATGTGAGAGTCAAATTTTGTGACCTATTCCACTCCACATACAAAGGATCACAAAGTTTGATCATCCCTTGTGCTACTAATGTCTTCCTTTTCGGTGTTTGATTTCAAAGGGGGAGAATTTGTAGGACCAAAAGCAAGCCCGATCATAATAATTTACAAGTGGTAATGGTCCGAGAAAGGGAGGATAGTGGATTATGGAGTTAGGGAGAGGCTTAAATCTATAATGCCACATGGGGACATTTACAAGGGTAAAAGCAAGCCCGATCATAATAATTTACAAGTGGTAATGGTCCGAGAAAGAGAGAATAATGGATTATGGAGTTAGGGAGAGGCTTAAATCCATAATGCTACATGGGGATATTTGTAAGGACAAGATAAGTTTCCAAAGATGTTTACATGTGGCATCTTTTAGCATCTGTCCTTTGCATTGCATCCTAGCAAGTAAATAGTTTTTAAATTCTAAATTTTTTATTATTTGCTTGTTTTGGTCGTGTTGTCATGAATCACCAAAAAGGGGAGATTGTAAGGAAAATAGACCCTAGACCCATTTACTTTGGATTTTAGTGTTTCATGACCAACACAACCAAATTGGACTAATGAATTTGCAAGTAATTGTTTTGTAGTTCAATAGGGTGCAAGACGTGACTTCGACGAAAGCGACATGATCTCACGATCAACACCATAAGCAAGACCCTAGAAGCATAAGAGAAGACCCAAGATATCAAGCAAAATCCAAGCAATAAGATAGGAACCAAGCCAGACGTAAGATCGCTAAGAAACAAGCTTCACAGAGGTGATTAGACGCGATCCTTATAGCGACCGAACGCGTCCGATCAAGATGCTCGGCAACGGCAGACGTCAGCAGCAGCGATCGAACGCTGAGGATTCAAGTGACCGGATGCGACGATGACACTGTTCACTATCGCGACAATAGCTCAGCACTGACCGGACGCTGACGGATAATCGACCGGACGCAGGAAATGCAACATCCGATCGAGTCTAGAGAGGTTCCAGAGCGGCGATAGCGCGACCGGACGCGTCCGATCAACAGTGATCGAACTCGGCAGTGCGTCTGATCAACACGCGTGCTCCAACGATCGAGACGACCGGACGCGTCCGGTTAGGACGACAGCAGCGTCCGGTCAGTAGTAGAAGCTGGATTTCGCCCCCAACAGCTACTTTCTCGGTTGAGCTTATAAATAGACCCCCCAACCGACCATTTGAGAAGTGGAGAAGTGAGGAAATATACCAAGGATGTTGATACACGATTTTAGTTGTGCTTAGTGATTCATTAGGTGATTAACGTAGGTGCTTTGCGAAGTGCTTAGGTTGATTAGACCACACCGCTTATGCGCTTGCTCTAGGTTTAGGCCTAGTGTTTAGTGAGGTTTACATACCTCTTACCACTTGGTGCTTGCGCGCACCATTGTTGTACATCGGAGGGTCTTGTAGTCTTGCGAGATCACACCAACCGCGTTTGTGGTGTGGCCTCCACCGTGTACCGAAGGGAACAAGGCCCACGGCGTTTCGGCCGGAAGCTTGATAGTGAAGACGGTGGAGAGCGGTCTAGGAGAGGCTTTGCCACGAGTGGCTTAACAGGAGACCCACTTGCGCGTGGGGAAGGCCCGGAGCTATCCACGGAGTTACCCGATCGGGAGCTTGGCTCTTGCGAGGGGCTCAACGAGGACTAGGGAGGAGCTTGCGCGCTTCTCGATACCTCGGTAAAAATACCAGAGTCGTCGATGGGAGTTTACATATCTTTACCTTACTTTTTAGCTTCCGTATTTACATTGTTTGCATAACTCCTTTTGCGGTAGAGATAGCAACACACTAGCAAAACCGTAGTTGCACATTTAGATAGTTTAGCTTTTTGCATAGGTTTAGCTAATGATAGAAAAAGATGTCATAGTTTAGAGTTAGAAATTTAAGTTTCCTAATTCACCTCCCTCTTAGGCGTCACGGTCCCCTTTCAGGACGGTTGCCCTTCAATGTGACTCCACTACTCTCTATATAAGATTACATGTATGTAAAATGGAAAGGCCCATGGGGTGGCTTTATTTGCCACTAGAAGTACATGCCTTCGTCAAGATGCTAATATATTACTCTTTCACAAAAAAAGATGCTAATATATTATATTTAATATTTCATATCATTGCAACGAATAATTCATGGACTCTCTTGATAAGCTTGGAGCATATGTGACAGAATATAGGATTTGCTGTAGACAAATAAGAAGAGGCGTGGACGAAGAGTGAGCTGGTTAGGTTCCCTGCTCATAATTAGATGTATTAGGTTTGAGTTAAAATTCTCAAGTTGATTCGCTTTTTTAATTTATTTTAGGAATTAATTAGGCTATCTTTTTAGTTTGAGACGACATGCTCGTCAACAAAAAGCGTTTATTAGTATTCGGGTGCTTATAAAACGTATATACGTACATTATTTATAAAGAGAGTGGACGTGCATACAAGCATCAATATAATATAGTTGGGATCGGTTTGCACGGGATCAATGATACTACTTTGCTAATTTTCATCACATAAAAAGAAATCGATACATGATATATATATATAATAAGTTATTCTGTTGCCACTTTTAGTTACGATAATTACTATATTAATTTACGAGATTATGGTAACTCCCTCATAAATGATTTACTATAGTATTATGGTAAGTATCATCTTGAATTATAGTAAACCCATGTATCGTAAATGTGTATTGTCATTATCGTAAATTGGTACAAATATTATCGTAAATCAAGGTGACCATAGAATAAGTTATTCTATGGTCAGCTGCAGAATAGCCTTACCGGATGTGTGTGTATATACATACTACTACCCTGTAGCTGGCTACAAAATAACTTATTCTGTAGCCACTTTAAGTTACGATAATTACTATGTTAATTTATGAGATTATAGTAACTCCTTGCTAAGTGGTTTACTATAACGTTATGATAAATATCTCCATGTGTTGTAGTAACCCAACTATCGTAAATATGTATTGACATTATCGTAAATTATTATATAAAATTATTGTAAATGGAGGTGGCTACAGAATAACTTATTTTGTAGCTGGTTACTGAATATATATATATAGACATACTATTCTGTAGCTGGCCGCAGAATAAGTTATTCTGTGGCCACTTTGAGTTACAATAATTACTATACTAATTTATGAGATGATGGCTCAGACTTTAGTATGATCGATGATTAGCCTGTTCGTTTGGCCGTAGCTTGTCGTAAATAATCGTAAATTTCCAGCAGAAACAATATTTTTCTCTCACACAAATCAGCCAACAGTACTTCTTCACGAACCAGCAACGATATGAACCAACCAACCGAACGGGCTGGACGATGGCTCAGACTTGAGTCGTGTCACCTAGTCAAGACTTGCCCTTCGGCCACTCCACTTCTCAGCCAACCAACAAGTTCTTCGTATCTACTCTGCTCGACTAGCTGCCTGCATGTATGCATCTCTGAACTCTACCTCCACGCAATTGTTCACCTCACTCCGATGTCCCCGGTTAGCTTGGCCTTGCTGTGGCTAGCTCTCTCACTTGTAGCAGCCGTCGAACCAGCTGATGACCAAGAGGCTAGCTGCTCGCCCAAGTTGTGCGGCAACCTGACTATCTCAGAGCCATTTGGATTTGTTCCGGAGCAGGCAACCGACACAAAATGCGGTCGGCTGGGATTCGTGGTCCATTGCAACAACAGCATTCCATACCTCGGCTATTATCGGCGAAAGTATAGATTCCAGATCCTCAACATCTTCTACGACAACAGCTCCTTGCTTGTCGCTGACATCCACAAGCTTGAGGACTTCATCGGATCCAACTCCAAGGTCTGCCATGTTCTGACTGCCAACACCTCCTCCAAAATCGGCCTTCCATTCTCGATCAGCCCCGTCAATCTGAACCTCATCTTCTACATGTGCACCAAGACACCGGAGCCGGATAGGGGGCTTGTGGAGACGAAATGTGGCAGCAGCTTGTTTGTTCTTGTGCCAGTGCGGGAGGCATTTGGCGAGGCGAACGCGAGCAGCTATGAGCAACTCATCAGCGATGGCTTCCTCTTGACATGGCAGCCAACATCAGGTAAATTCACTTGTGAGATTATTAAAAAGGGCGTACCCAGTGCAGAGAGCTCCCGCTCAATCAAATAAATTGAATTATGCATTTGGTGTGCAAAAGGTCAGCTTATATTCTTCTAGTCCAATTGAAAACCAAAGTCACAGTCAGTTAGCACGCCAGTAGGACATCTGACACATCTCATCATGACATCATTTATTTACATTTACATTCCTAGGGAGGTAAAAACATGACTCAGTAACTGGTTATGGCACTTTTGTAGTGAATGCACATGAGAAGATTTTGCAACAGGAAATTTACTCCATTAGTAAAACAGTTTTTTCTCGAACTACGTAGGAGAGCGGGGGGTCATTTCATTAAGGTAGAAGAAAAAACGGGTTTGGGTAGCCCCTATCTAGTTACAAAACACACACCAACACATCAACAGCCATTATACTCAGGCTGTGCCAAAATTGGGAAGAGGTGACCAAACAGAGAGCACTAGCTCTTGGAGCTTGGAAGCCCCAGCCATGCACCATAGGCGGCCCTCAGTGTTTATAGCCCTAAGAACCTCCTGAGTGTTCGGCCTGACCTTTTCAAACACACAATCATTCCTGTGTTTCCAAATCTCCCAAGCAACCAGGATTATCAGAGAATTAAGGCCCTTACACATCTCTTTTGGTACAGCCAAGAATGTTTTCCTCCACCATCCAAAGAAACGGATCTCGGGAGATTCAGGAGCTAGGTGTATCAGACCCAGGCGTTGGAAGATCAGCACCCAAACCTGGCGGGAGAACACACAGCCAACCAGTAAGTGGTGGATTGTCTCCGGAGCTTGGTCACAAAGGGGGCAAGCCTCCGGATGAGGCAGACCTCGCTTAGCCAGGCGATCAGTGGTCCAACACTTGTTGTGAAACACTAACCAAATGAAGAATTTGCAACGCGGAGGAGCTCAGCTTTTCCAAATCCTCCTCCAAGGCCCAATTCTGACAGAACCCTCAAAGAAGGCAGCATATGCCGATTTACTGTTATAGGACCCCAATTGACTTAACTTCCATTTGTATTGATCTGGAGTATCTTGCTGCAACTTGAAACACTAATTTTAGAAACATATCGCCTGTAAAAAAGGTAAATGTTAAAGAAAAAATAGACAGTGTCATGCTGTCACGGAAAAATCACTAGTCATATTGCACTTCCCTTCGGTTTTCTCCAATAATGCTATCTCTGTCATTATTGGATAATTTTTCGTTGTGATTGAGATGTTGCTAACTAGAATCAATATATATTGCAGACGGGAGGCACAACATCAGATTAATTCTAATAGGTATTCCCTCAATCCCTGAATAAATCAATTCCTGGAAGTCATTTTTTTTTATGTTTGACCCAATTTATAGAAAAAAACACAAATATTTATGAAACCAAATAAGCACATGATGAAAATACATTTTATGGTGTATGTAACGATACTAATTTGGTGTCATAAGTCTTTGTGCTCTTTTGTATAAATCCAGTCAAACTTAGAAAAGTTTGATTTAAAACATCTCTATGTATTTATTTGGCTAGCTATACGTACTGTACTACCATCTAAAGTTTCAGCTGGCAGGTTAGCCTCGTGCTCTTATGTGATAACGGAATAGGGTGTACTGCTATTCTTATCAGTTTTGCAGATATCTATATCTGATATTACAGAAGAACTCTAGGGAGAAGATTATTACCGCCTGTGACCGGAAGGTCCTGGGTTCGAGTCACGGTCTTCTCGCATTGCACAGGCGAGGATAAGGCTTGCCACTGACACCCTTCCCTAGACCCCGCACAGAGCGGGAGCTCTCTGCACTGGGTACGCCCTTTATGGAATTATAGCATCCTCAAGAACTTGCATATGCATAGATGGAAATCTTCTATAGTAGTGTATATTTCCATGGCTGGGTTTCATTCTTTGGTTTTAATTTTCTAGGTTCCATGTCTGCTACAGCTGGGTTGTTTTTCACATGTCTTCTTTGGTTCATATATCGTCGGAAACAAAAGCTCGGTCTCTTCATTCTCCAAAAGCATGCTCGGAGTCAATCAAATATGGAAGAGATAATAAGGAGATATCAATCACTGACCCCAAAGAGGTACAGTCACTCGGATCTGAAGAAAATAACAAGAGGTTTTAAGGAAAAATTAGGAGAGGGTGGTTATGGTACAGTATTCAAGGGTACTCTACCAGATGGCCATATGGTTGCTGTGAAAATCTTAAAAGGATCCAAAGGCAATGGAGAGGAATTCCTAAATGAGGTTACTAGCATTGGTAGGACTTCCCATGTCAATATTGTCAGTTTATTTGGCTTTTGTTTACAGGGATCTAAGAGAGCCCTTGTTTATGAGTACATGGCCAATGGCTCTTTAGAGAAGTATATTTATTCAGAGAGTTTAAAGTCGGCACTTGGATGGGAAAACTTGAGGAAAATAGCTATTGGCATCGCACGAGGCCTGGAGTATTTGCATCAGGGCTGCAGCACCCGCATCATTCATTTTGATATTAAGCCCCACAACATCCTTCTTGATGAAGACTTCTGTCCCAAAATTGCTGATTTTGGATTGGCAAAACTGTGTCATGTCAAGGACAGTGCTCTCTCAATGGCTGATGCAAGAGGCACCATTGGTTTCATTGCTCCAGAAGTGTTTTATAGAGGGTTTGGAGCTGTGTCAACTAAGTCAGACGTTTACAGCTATGGAATGATGGTACTACAAATGGTAAGCAGCCCGGGAAATACTGAGAATTCTAGTGAAACGTATTTTACCGACTGGATTTATGACTGCCTGGTAAAGGATTTGCAAAGCCATGAAGTCACATGCGAGCTAGAAGAGACTGCAAAGCAGATTGCTCTAGTTGGCTTGTGGTGCATACAAGATGGCCCCAGGAAGTCGTCCTTCCATGAATACAGCCACAGAAATGTTGGAGAAGAATATCAACGAATTGGAAATGCCACCCAAGTCATTCCTTTCCTGCCCCCTGCCCCAATCAAATTTCTCATCTTAGCCAAGATATTCCCTATTGGGATGACTCATATCATCTATGTTTTATAATGTCACTCAAAACCAAAACAATGAAAACTACATTCTTGCAGCACCTTTGAATTACTATTGCACATTTTCGATAGATGAATATACATATTCATAAAAGCAACAAATCAATGTGTGGGTTTAATCATGGTTCCACGTGATCCTAACATATACATTGTTATTTGATTTGCTGCTTTGCAATTTTCCATCACACAGTCAGTCCATCATCCAAATATTAATGTACTACCAATTTGTGCCCATATCAAGTTATGTTCACCTGTTTGTCCAGATTGTAGACCTTCGTGCAATCCAAGACCCAAAATATGTTCACCAGTATAAAAAGTGAACCTAGCTCAACTGGTTGGGTCACCCAACCACAACTAGGTTCAAGTCCCCTCTAGGCTTTAATTTGGGTGTCTATTTTCTCTTTTTAACGAAAAACCGCTTACTTTCTCCAAGAATGGATCTCGTTTAAAAAAAATAAGTATACAAAAATTATAAATAATAGGAGCCAACACCGTTTTTGCCCTGGTTGCTTGGGAGCTGTGGAAGGAGAGGAATGCGGGGAGATGCTTCCGTGGCGCCGCCACCCAACTTCACCAGCTGCTCGCCGTAATCAAACATGAGGCCAAGCAATGGGTGCAAGCCGGCGCAAAACACTTGGGTTGTCTCTTGTTCGGTATAATAGCCTAAGTACATTGATATCTAGGGAGGGCGCTTGAGCCTCATTGTAATCTATTATATCTCCCCCTTTAGCGCTGCCAAAGGGTTTGTACTGCAAAAAAACCTTCTTTCCTAATGTAAAGACGTGCAAACCTTTTGCGTGTTTAAAAGAAAAAATTATAATGAACACCCCCATATCCAAAGGCCGAACGCCAACAGTTACAGCAGACCGTTTCCCAGTAACATTAGTGTACTCGTGACGATTCAATTGAAAATGAGACACGCTTTCTATCGCCCTGAGAACTAATAATCAAATTGATCCACAGGGCGACAGCTAGCAAAACCACAGTATGTGATAGATCTACGTATCATTAGGGATACAAGTGTGTACCCGACAGAGATCAATCCAATTGTTGACAACCAGTGAAGAAGCAAGCACATACCTCCATTGTTGACAGGCGGGCCGTGGGCGCGGGATGCCGGGATGCGTCATCCATCGCCATCGGTGACCCCATCACCACCGGCACCGAGACTGCTCAACGATTTCCTGCATTGCGACGTAATTAGCCGAAGTCGCGCTATGCCGCTATGTAGCTGCCGTCGCGTCTGACGGCGGCGACAGCCGACAGGAGCCGGAGCCGCCGGGACGGGGCATATCAGCCGCCTTCGGCTCAGGGCGGAGCGGAACACACCATTTACGGGCTTTGAAGCCCATGCACATCTCGCCCAGACATGGGTTGGAAGGATTGAAATTCCCCCCAGTCTGACTATCATTGCACCTCCGGCCCAGTTTCTTCAATTGGCCGGACTGACTCGTGCGGTCCTCAGGCCTGGGATTGGACCGGCCTTAATCTGGGCGGTAGAGCAGGCCATGGGCGGTGCGCTCCGTGGCCGTAGGCTATTTTTTTAGTTTGAGACGACATGCTCATAAAAAAAGCGTTTATTAGCATTCGGGGTGCTTATAAAACTAGCATACGTACATTACTTATGACTATATGAGAGAGTGGACTTGTAGTAAGGTATGGTTATGTGCGTAACTTATGCAGAGGCTGGAATAAAAAAAACCTTTTTTTTTCTAAAAATTTGTAAGGGACTGGACGTGCATACATTATACAAAACGTCTGTGATGTACGGTGGTGCCCATATGCATGTCTGCATGTGTGTATGCTAACGTCTTCTCGCAAAAAAGAGTATATGTTACACGAGATCCTCATTTGGGCCCTAGGGCCGTTTGGTAGAGATTCTCTACCGGCTCACGGAGCTATTTTGTGTCTCCCTCTACCAAGCGCCTCAATAAGCAGCCTGTTCGCTTGTTGGTTTCATCCAGCCCAAACCAGCCAGTCAACAGTGTTTTTCTCTCACAAAAAACCAGCACCAGTCAGCCTAAACCAGCACCAGCACCAACCAGCGAACAGGCCCAAAAAGGGCTCGAGCTCCTGAAATCGCGATGAGACAAGCGAGGAGAGAGAAGAGGAGCCGAAAATACTAGCTCTCACCGGCTTTGCCCGGCACTAGTGGCCCCCACGCGCAGCTATGGCCGTCATTGCCCTTGCGGAGGTGCGCAGGCACGGTAGGGGCAAGCGCGGCCGGCACGGGAAGGGACGACGGCGCGGAAGCGCGGCGAGGGGCGCAGGTGGCGCAGCCGCGCGGCGACGAGCACAGGCGGCGCGCCCTCGCAGGGAAGAGTGCAGGCGGTGCACACGTGCTGGGTCGCCGGTTCGCCTGGCCGCGGTGGAGCTGAGACGCGGAGCAGATAGATGAGGGAGGAGCAGACGGACGAGGAATGAGATGCGGATGGCTCGATGCGGGTGGCTCGCGTGCGGTTCAACCGAGCAGATAAGGTTTGGAAAAGAAAAGAAAAAAAGGGTACTGTGGACATTTTGTCCTTTTGAATACTAGGAGAAACTGTTTTACTAAACGGTCTAGAAAATAGCTTCCGTTTTTCTAATGAATCTGCTCCGCAGGTGAAGCCACAACTAAAATTGTTTTAACTGGAGTCGGAGCTCTGCCAAGGACCCTTTTCTATCGTTTGAGTTGGATATCTCGGCGCTGTTCGGGCCAGTTTGCAGGTTTTGGGCTGTTTGGGCTGGAGCACATTGATCCTGAAAGTTTACAGTTACTATTAATTGAGCCTGTGCATCTTTTTGCTCAAATTACCCATACCAGGCCGTCCGACCATATTGACTTTCGTTGCTTGCATATTGTTGATGCTAACCTATGTAAATCTATCGTTAACCTGCACCCTACCCATTTGTACTACATCATGTTCATGCTCCGTATTTGCTCCTCTACCCAAACTGCACAAACCAACGTGTTGCCAACCTATCTTGCTTCTTCCTTTCTTCTCCAAGACTCCAATCCTTTCGCTAAGCTGTGCTCTCCGGTGTACGCAATCTAGAGCTGCTGACGAAGCAAATTTAATTCTGTCAGTGATCACGAACAACAGACAATCGACATTGATTGCACAATCCGCAGACAAACGCTCACCGTTGGGTGAAATCCGAGGTGGAGGACGGATAGCTCGACGGGTGAGACGGCGACGGGGAGTTGGACGGAGAAGTGTGGTACGGGCGGGGCGGCATGGCGATCTCGTGGATGCTCCTCTCCAGCATCTCCAGCACCCTGCTCATCGACGGCCTGCTCGCGGGCACGGTCTGGATGCACCAGAGCCCGATCAGCGCCATCTTCCTCGCGATCTCCTCGCCTGCTTCTCCGGCGCCTCCCGCGCCACTGCCCTGCAGCACGCCGTCGCCGTCCTCAAGCATGTGGTCGTACACCCAGAGCGGGAAGAAGAGGTCGCCGGTGGACTTATTCTCAGCGTAGGCCTTGGCGTTGCTCCTCCCGCCGACCATCTCCAGCAGCAGCATCCCGTAGCTGTACACGTCGGACTTGGTCGAGATGACCCCGAACCCGCGGGAGAAGACCTCCGGCGCGATGAACCCGACGGTGCCCCGCGCGTCCGCCATCGACAGGATGCTCTCCTTGGGGTTGCACAGCTTCGCCATCCCGAAGTCGGCGATCTTGGGGCGGAGGTCGGCGTCCAGGAGCACGTTCTGGGGCTTGATGTCGAAGTGGATGATCCGCGTGCTGCACCCCTCGTGCAGGTACTCGAGCCCCCGCGCGATGCCGGCGGCGATCTCCTGCAGCGCCTCCCACCCCAGCGCCGTGCCCGCCGGGTCCTCGGCGTAGATGTACCTGTCCAGCGAACCGTTGGGCATGTACTCGTACACCAGCGCGCGCCTGGAGCCCTCCAGGCAGAACCCCAGGAGGGTGACGATGTTCACGTGGGACGTCCGGCCGATGCTGATCACCTCGTTCAGGAACTCCTCGCCGTTGGGTCTCGAGTGGTGCAGGAACTTAACGGCGACCTCTCGCGCGCGGGCGCGGTTACCGCCGGCGCCGGCGGTCAGGATGCCGCTGTACACCGCTCCGTAGCCGCCTTCCCCGAGCTTGTGCTGGAAAGATTTGGTTATTCTCTTCAGCTCGGAGTACCTGTAGCGCTTGGGGGCGAGTGATCCGTACTTCTGCAGCAGTTTTTCCACGTTTGCAGTGTCTCTGCTGCTGCTTCTGTCCATGATGCTGAATATGCTGAAACTGCGTATTTGTCGATGGAACTTGAGGATTAGGACGAGGAGTGCCAGCAACAGGCCGAATGTGATCGACAGAGACACTGAAATTGGATACCAGATTGTATCAGTGGGTTGCAATTGCAAGGCAGCTTGTAACAGTACAATATTTTTTTAGGAATATACAGTAATCATGATTTGTAGTATCCATTTATCTTGAACTCATCATGACGTGTATTTGAACACATGCAAAGCATATGCATGCATGTACTTTATGTGTAGTTTGCTGGAAGATATATACGTACCTATCAGAATCACCTTCCTGTTGGACTTCTTTGCATCTGCAAGGAAGAGTCATTTGATTTTGATTTCAGTAAATAAACATTGTCATCAATCAAGAAACTGATGGAAGTTTTTCTCTGACAATTCCAAGCCTATAGATCTGATAAGAGACTAATTAAACTGACAGTGACACAGTTGTCGTGCTCAGGAAGCATGTATGACAAAATTAGATGACTATTGTTACTTGCGTCATTGATTTCGTAACCAGAACACGCAGCTGGTACGACTAATCTGCATTTCAACTCCTAATCTCTAACTAACACTACAATTCTCCAAGCCAGTAACTCACTAACACGAAGGCAAACACCAGACGACAAATTAATCGGTATAAAAGCTGGCATGCGTATGCACGCATGTCGTATACTCGTATTCAAACTGTAAGTGGGCAGAGACGTACGTATAAACTGATTGATAGCTAACTTCTAACCTACCCAGAGCCAGAAGCATTGCATAGCAGGAACGCGTAGACGAACAAAATTTAAATTAGGTGAAAAGACATGACTGCCGTGAATTCCACCAATTCACACGATGAACGCATGCTGAAAATGGCCGTAATCAGATCAATATAAGGCCAGTTTCAGAGACACGTAGTTAGTTCAATCTTGTTCTCATCCTTTGTGATTTGATTGTAAAGTCAAAGATAAGAAGGTAAGCCTCCACAAGTCAATATGTGGTTTGGTGAATGGTGATGGCGACGGGCGAGAGGAGAGGACCTGTTCGTTGTTCTGTCAGGATGCTATTTCGGATTAAAATTTTGTGACCCGAATAGACCTATTGGGGATCCATTCTCTGTTTGGTTGGATAAATTGATCGACGGCAATAAGATCACGCATGGGTAGCATGGACCCATGGCCATTACTCCCCCATTCTAAATTATAAGACGTTTTGACCAAAACGTCTTATTATTTGGAACGGATTGAGTACTAAACAAGTCAAACAGCTGCGTCAAATATGTCATGTCAGCACATTGATAGTCATTTCTGATGAGAACTATTGCTAGTCATGTGAATTACATCGTCCTGAAAAGCTAACAGTTCATCATTTACTTAAACGCCAACAGGGGCTGAGACTTTATTTCTTTCCAGTTTCCAAGTCACAAGCTAAAGTTAGTTTGCGAGCATGAAAGCAAATACCAAAAAAAATCAGAATGCAGCATACATGCAAAATTTTCACGGATGTAGCAAATACCAAAAAATTCAGAATGCTACTATTTCAGTTTCGGAAACGAGCAAACTGCAATAATAAGAAATGAAATTAAAAAGAAGCTCAGGAATAGGAAGTACAGACTATAGAGCCAGATAAAGATACGCATACCGCATCTTGCCGGACGTGAAGACCCGTCGTCGCAAATGCAGGCGAACGCATCCGCGTCGGAGTCGTACCGGCACTGGCCGCCGCTGGCATTGCACGCCGTGCAGTCCCCAGGCGACGCCCGCCATTCCAGCAGGTACCCGCCGCTCAGCAGCCGCGGATACTCCCCGGCGCTCGCGCTGCCGGAGGACCCCACCATCACCGGCACGACCGAGTAGTCGCAGCCCCCGGCGACCGCTCTCGCGTCGGTGGTGTTGTACCTCGGGTCGAGCCGCACCACGGCCTGCGCCCCCGGGCACGTCACGTTGACGAACCCGGCCGGCGGCGGGCTGCCGGTGCAGTTGAAGAGGAAGATGAGCTGCGCGTTGGCGCTGCTGGCCGTGAAGGGCGCGAAGCTGAGGCTGGCGGAGACGTCGATGCGCGGCACGGGGCAGCCGCGGGCGTCGGTCTGGACGTTGTCGTTGGCCACCACGACGGTGCGGTCGGCGTAGGACACGCGGAGGATCTTGTAGGCGCCGCGGAACGAGCGCGCCAGCGACGCGCGGCCGCCGCGGCAGTCCACCTGGAAGGCGCTCGGCCCGCACGGCGGCGCCGAGGAGGAAGAGGAAGGCTGCTGGTCCGGGAGCCAGAACGGGTAGGCGATGGTCAGGTTGCCGCATGTCCTCGGCGCGCAGCTTGTCGCGGCAGATGCTGCTGTCGCCGCGTGGACTTCTAGGAATGTTAGGGTGGAGAGGAGGAGCAGTAGCCGGGCTTGCGCGGCCATGGCGGCGATCGGGCAATGATGGTTGGTGGTGGCCGTGGCGAGGAGGAAGGCGTCTGTATACTCTGGACAAGAACAGGAGGGGCCGTTTGACTTGTTTGAGCTTGGAGTAGAAAATAAATTTCATATTTGATTGCATATGGTCTCTTTCTTCGACCTTCTGGGTGGACCGTGTACGTGTGAACTTGATTTGGCTTTCCGTCGGTTTTACTGGCTGGATGCCTAGATGCGCATGCCCTGAGTGCGATTTGGTCCTGTCAGCACTGTTCCTAGTCCGGCACATTCCCAACGGCTGCATCCTGGCGAACCAAGTGAAGCCCGGCCCAAGCACGCAAGGAAGCCCAATGAGCGATTCGCCGGCCCAACGTGGCTTGCTTAAGAGATACTGAGATAGTATAAGTATCAGAGAGGGAGAGGAATTGGAAATGAAAATTGTAAACTATGAACTATTTTTCTGAATTGCAATAGAACTCCTCCATGCTGCCTACCCTGTCTGGTTCTATTGCTTTCTTCTTCTCCAATCCAATTTCAATTTCCCCTCATGCTAATAATCTGGTATTAGAGCGTCTTCTTCGATCTACCCTACTCTGCTCCTCCTTTGTTCTTCCTCTCCGCCCTGGATCCCACTACTGCCGACGCCCATGACCACTTCACTCGCCGGCAACGATCTCTCGGCGTGATGGACCCCCACCTGAAAATCATCCTCGACAAGCTCGATGAGTTCGGCAAGCCGCTTGACAACCATGACGCTCGGCTGGATCAGTGCTTCACCGACCTCGACCGTGACCTCTCTGCCCGCGACAGCGTCGTCGATCGCTGCCTCGCCGATCTAGAGTCGTCCCGCTCGTCGATCGTGGATCCGGTTGTCTCCGACCACCTCGCTACGTTGGAGTTGGCGTACTCCACTCAGGCCTCGGACATCACCAAGCGTCTCGCCATGCTCGAGTCGGTTCATGTTGCGGACTCCACCAGCGACCGTGACGTGAGGGTGACCAAGCTGGAGGCGGTGGCGGCCGACATCGGCGTATGGCGATCGGAGTTGGAAGGCGTCGTCGATGACCTGAAGCTCTAGGTGAAGAACGATGTCAAGAGCTTGGACGGCGCGGCGTTCGACACAATGTTGCACAGCCCCGGGATCATGGCCACGTCCCCGATTTTGGCGAACGCGAGTTCCCCATTGCTGGTCACCACCGAACGGCCCATGGGGCACGGCGTCGCAACCTCTCCACGGGATGTAGGGTTTGGGTCATCACAGACTCATCCTCTCTTCCCGACCAATGGTACGAACCTTCCCCCTCACTCATTTGGTTCTCCTCGTCTGTATCCGCCGCCCCGTTCACCCTCGCCACCGCTTCCTCATCCATTCCCACCACCACCCAATTCGCAGCCCTCCTTTACCTTACCCACTCCACCGCCACCCCTTTTCACGCCGCCGTTGACGTATCCCAATCCACCGCCATCCCTTTCCATGCCGCTGTTGACATATACCAATCCACCGCCACCCCTCTCCACGCCGCCATTGACGTATCCCAATCCACAACCACACCTTCCTACACCGCAAGTGACGTATCCTATGACTCATCTTCCTTCCCAAATCCAGCCACCGCCACCGTATCCTTTCCATCCACACCCAGTTCCCCATAATCTTAACCCTGGTAGCATCCCCAAGCTCCCGTTCCCAAAGTTTGATGGTGAGAACCCACGTTTGTGGCGTACTTGCTGCACCAATTACTTTGAAATGTACCAAACCGAGCCTCACATGTGGGTTCGTGTGGCTCATATGCACTTTGAGGGAGTTGCTGCCCGCTGGTGGCAATCTGTTGAGTCTACCTTAGCCACTGCTTCCTGGGATACGTTTTGTGCTGAGCTCCACTCCCGCTTTGATCGTGATCAACACGAGCTGCTGATCCGACAGCTTTTTCACCTACGCCAAACATCTATCATTTCTGATTATGTGTCTAAATTCACCGGTCTTATGGATGGCCTCCGTTCTTATTCCACCACCGTTGATCCTGTGTATTATGTTACTCATTTCATTGATGGTCTCCGTCCAGACATCAAAGCAGTAGTCATTGTTTAGCGTCCGAAAAACACTCAATGCTTTGTGTACTTGCTTTGTTAAAGGAAGAAGTTGGTGGTGCTGTTCCTTCTGTGCGGCCAATGCAAATCTCTGCTCCGAAGCCGGCGTTCAAGAATGCACACCCGTTGCCACCTCCGTCGCCCAAGCAGGACAAGCCGATGATTGGCCCTGCTGCTCCGGAGCCAACACCTGGTAACGCTTCTGCATTGGTAGCTCTAAAAGCCTACAAACGTGCTCTGGGGCTCTACTACAAATGCGCGGCTAAATGGTCCAAGGATCATAAGTGCGCTCCGGAGGTGTTGCATGCCGTTCATGACCTCTGGGAGTCCCTGTCATTGGACGATTCTGAGGTACATGTGCCTACCCCTCCTGATTCTGATGCTCCTAAATAGCTGTTTTTGGCATTGTCCAAGGCTGCAGTCTCTGGTGCTCCTACTTCCCGTACTGTTTAGTTTGATGGCTACATGGAACATGTGCCTATGCATATTTTGGTGGATTCAGGCAGTTAGCTAAGCAGTTGAGCTCTCAGACTTCGGTTTCTGTACCTTCATCAGTTCAGGTCGCTGGAGGTGGACTGTTGACTAGTACTAGTATACTGCATAATCTTTCATGGACTGTCCAAGGTGTGTCTTTCTCTTCTAGCTTCAGAGTGTTGCCTCTCAAAGGTTATGATGTCATCTTGGGTATGGATTGGTTGGAGCATCACAGTCCAATGCATATTCACCGGCAACAGAAGTGGCTTCAGTTTTCCTATGGGGATCAAATTGTGTTGTTGCATGGCGTGCCTTCTGAGTCTGTTAATTCAGTGCTCCTTTAGTTTTGTTGTTCCATTGCTGATATTCCTAAGCCATAGTTGTCTGAGTTGCCTCCTGAAATACAGTCATTGCAGCACACTTATGGCCATTTGTTTGAGCCAGCCACTTAGTTGCCTCCATCCAGAGCTTGTAACCATACCATTCCACTGGTTCCTGGTTCTAAACCTGTAGAACTTCGACCATACAGGTATCCTCCTAAGCTCAAGGACGAGTTGGAAACTCAGGTGCAGGATATGTTGAAACAAGGAATTAAACCGCCGAGTGCCAGTTTGTTTTCTTCTACAGTCCTACTAGTTCCTAAGAAGGATGGCTCTTATAGATTCTGTGTTGACTTCAGACATCTCAATGCCATTACTCTTAAGTCCAAGTTTCCAGTCCCTATCTTTGATTAGTTGATGGATGAGTTAGCCCATGCTTAATGGTTTTCTAATTTGGATCTGAGGGCTGGTTTCCACCAAATCCTGCTCCAACATGGGGAAGAACACAAGACAACTTTCCAAACTCATTTGGGCCATTATGAGTTCAGGGTCATGGCTTTTGGCCTTACTGGAGCACCTAGGACTTTTCAAGGTGCAATGAATGTTACTTTATCCCTAGGCCTCAGGAAGTTTGTTCTGGTATTCTTTGATGATATATTGATCTATAGTCGAACTTATGAAGAACACATCAAGCATATGGCTCTGGTTATGCAATGGTTGTTTGATGATAACTGGAAGATCAAATTTTCCAAGTGTAAGTTTGCGCAAACATCCATTGCTTACCTAGGACATGTCATCAGTGGTCAAGGTGTCTCTACTGATAGTTCTAAGATTTAGGCTATTATTGATTGGCCTCTTCCCAAGACTGTCCGAGATGTGAGAGGTTTTCTTGGCATTGCCGGTTACTATAGGAAATTTGTTAGGCATTTTGGAATCATTTCTCGACCTCTACATGATCTTCTTCACAAGGATGTGCCTGTAACAGAACCGACCAATTATACGAAATTAAGTAAGAAAATCATCCGCCAGAGCAGACGATTTAGCAAACTTAAGCCCGTATAACCCGGTAGTCCGTGAAATCACGAAGGATTTCAAACCAACTTCCATTCCATCCAAGATCGTAATAAGTTTAGCGGTCACCCTCACATATTACATAAAAGTTCGCAATCTCAGATACATCAGAGTTTAAACATAGTTATTACAAAACCAGTTCGAATAAAAGTAGCGGAAGCCATTTGTTCAAACCACACACACTCACGCGGAGTTCAAATATAGTGCCAGCGAATGATCATCTCCAACAAAAGCATTAGACGAGACGTAAGGAATGACCATGCCCATGGTCCTAAGCATCACCCATCGCAGGATACAGGCAGTTGATACAGTAGCCGTAATACATCTGCCCATCTGCAACAAGTGGGAATAAAACCCTGAGTACGAGAAGGTACTCAGCTAGACTTACCCGACATAACCGAAAATAAATGACACCAAGGATTATGAAGGGCTTTATAGTAGGGTAGCTGACTCATTTGCAAAAGAAGCATTTTTAGCATTTCAAGAACCTTTCTAAAAGCATTATTGTCAAGTTAATTATTATTAACCTGTCGACTAGATTTGCACCTATACTAGAGTAAACATGTGATTAAGCAGATAATGATAACCACTGATCATTAAACAACTTCCATACTGTCATATTCACTATAACTGTCCAAGTGTTCCATAAACATTTACTACGATGAAGTAACTCAAGTCAAGTGCTCACTATCCAGGAGCGATGGCGATTCGAATCGATTCCTAACCAGCTGGTGATTTATTCCTTACACAAACCTCACTCACCCGCTAAAGTGAGATATTGATTACCGAGCCAACTTTCCAGGTATCTCGAGTTTGCCAGGAACCACATGTACCCGGGGGCCGACCGACTGCACTTTGGTCTTATCATCCCGCCCCCGTGTCCTACCACACCTGCTTCGGCACAGTGCGCTGCGGGCAATCTACTCGGCCCGAAAAATCTCCCAGCTTCGCGGTCGGAAGGTACTTTATCCCCGCCAGCTAAATGTAAGGCATGCGTTCAACATGACTCGAGGCCCAACAACGGTCGGTCCTTAATCGACACAGACGGAAACACTACAG